TCCCCAGCCCGGACCCGCCAAAACAACAATGACGCTGCTACAAAAAAATGGCCAGGCATTGTGGCAGGCGCCTATAGTCCCAGCTACTTGGGAGACTGAGGCAAGAGAATTGATGGAGCCCAAGAGTTTGAGGTTGCTGTGAGCTGTGACGTCACAGCACTCTACCAAGGGCAACACAGTGAGATTCTGTCTCAAAAAAAAGAAGCCAGTCACTAAGGACCACATCATATGATTCCATTTACATGAAGTATCCAGACAAGGCAAATCCATGAAGATAGAAGCTAGACTGGTGGTTGCCTAGTGCTGAAGATAGGGGCTGAGGGAAAACAGGGAATGTTTGCTAACAGATATAGAGTTTCTTTCTGGGGTGATGAAAATATTCTAAAATTGATTGTACAAGAGACCTGGAATGGCCTTCCCCTGGCCAGCTCCTTCTCACTCAAGGCCAGCCCACATCACTGGCTGCTCTATTCCAGTTTCTTTCAACTCTGCAGAGGTCAAGTGTGGGTGCTGCTAGCTCCCCAAGGCTGATCAGCTCAACTGTGGGCAAGAGATGCCACTTTTCTATACCTCCATTTCCTTATCTGCAAAATAGGGGTGATTACATTAGTGACAGAACCTCTCTTAGAACAGCACCAGTGACATACTGAACCCACCAGTATTACTACATCACCCGCCTTTACTTCCTTCACAGCACTATCACTCTGAAATAACCTTGTTTTACTTACTTTCCACTTATATATGACACGTCCCCTCACTGCCACCCCGCCTTGAAAGCTCCCTGAGTGGGATCTTTTGCTGTAGGCTTATACTCCACATCCAGGAGGTGTTTAATATTTTTTTAATTGTGATAAAATACACATTGCATAAAGATGACTCCTTGAAAGTGTACAACCCAATGGCATTACCAACTTCACAAGGTTGTGCAACCGTCATCACTATCTAGTTTCCAACTTTTTCATCACCCCAAAAAGACACCCTACATCAATTAACCAGTAATGCCCCCATTGGCCCCTCCAGCCCCCAGCAACCACATCAAGCTGCTTTCCGTCCCTATGAATCTTATTCAGGACATTTGGTTTCCTGTAAATGGGATCATGTAACATGTGGCCTTTTGTGTCTGTCTTTTTTCATTTTTTCCCAAGGTCCATCCACGTTGCAGCACATACCAGTACTTCATTCCTTTTCATGGCTGCGTCATAGTCCACTACACAGATAGACCATGCTTTGTTTATCCTTTCATCAGTGGATAGCCATTTGGGACATTTCCACTTTTTAGCTATTATAAAAAAGGTTGTTATGAACACTCATGTGTGAGTTGCTTAATAATTTTTAAATGGGGCAGCCCGTTTGGGACCCCTTCCATTGTATTGGAAGACTTCCTATCTATCTTCAATAAACAATTGCTCTATTGCTTCTGAAAAAAATAATAATTTTTAAATGAATGGGTCTATCACTCTTCTAGCAGACCAAACCCTCTTGTACATAAGTATTCTACTGTTTACTAAATGCTTATTCAGTGGTTGGTATTGTACAACCCAACCTGCCACCTGCAACTCCCCCCCTTTATCTCTTCTGCACAAATGAGACACAGAGAGGTAAAGCAACTGACCTGAGTAACAGAGTGGGAAGCTGAGCGTGGATTCAAACCCAGGTCTGTTGGACAGTGGGTTCCATGCTCTAACTCAGCAGTTCTCAACCTGTGGGTCGCGACCCACAGGAACTGTATTCAAGGGCCATGACATTAGTAAGGTTGAGAACTAACTAGAAAGGTCATTGGTTTATTTCAGACAAGTCTCAGATTAGAATATGGGGTGTTCTTTTAAAAATACCATCAAACTTCACAACCCACAAAGCAGGCCTGGCTCTAATGAGTAAACCCAGACATGCTGAAAACTACACTTGCTAGCAGACCCAGTTTTCCTTTAATTAAAATTAACAAAACAATATCCTCAAGCCTGGCTGGTCTGGGCTTCACTTGACAGGAAATAAGTCAGGTCAGCTCATTCCAGATGTTGCACCAACTAGGGGAACAGAGAAGAGGCCATGAAGCTAGATAACCCATGGGAAGTATAAACATGGGATCCTCACCCACTCTGCCTGGGGTCAAATCCCAATTCTGCCACTCAGTCTGAACTGAGGCCACTGTACCACTCTGTGCCTCAGTTTCTTCATCTATAAAATGGAAACAGTAACAGTACCTACCTCATAGGATTACTCTAAGGATTCAATGAGCTTTATCTACAAAAGCATCTGGCACATGTTAAGCATTAAATTACAGAAGTTACTAATTATCACCATTTCTGTTGAAGGCACAGACTCTGGTTTACCCCAGAAAGAGCTCTGACCCCTAGATTCTCACATTTTTCTCTTATTAATACCAACCCAGAGGTAAAAATCTTTAGATATCCATTTCGTAGTTCATGTTTGTTGACCTTATGTTGTCCCATGAAACCACTACAACCTGAGCCATGAGGTTCCTTGTGCTTACCCAGGGAGACAAAGACAGACTTCTTTTTGCAAATGATTTCTGCCTTCCGATGGCTTAGACATGGCAGCAAGAGGAAGGTGCATGCAGACTCCCTTTCTTCACACTCTTAATGCCCAGGTGGACTCAAGGCAACCTTTTGGCAGTCAGATATTTAGCTCCCCTCTCTCTCCACTACCACCAAACCAACTTCTTAATGTTCTTTTATTCTGCCTCACCTCAAGGACCAGAAAACTTTTTTTTTTTTAACCCTGTAAGTCCCCCAGCATGGCTAAGCAAAGTTGATTTATACCCTGGGCAGAAAATAACAACAGCAATAGACACTAATTTTTCGCTATGATTCTGGGCCAGGAAGGTACCTACAATTAATAATTACAAACTCATAATGAAGAGAGTAGTATTACCATCTCCATTTGACAGATAAAGAAACTGAGGCCCAAAGAAGTGAAGCCACTTGCCTAAAGCCATTCTGCTTGTACAAGGTAGAGCTCCAGGATGAACCCAAGCTTTTCTCCACCCCAAACCCCACAGCTAAAAGCCAAGGAAGAAATTAACAGGGTGAATAGCAAGGGAATGACATGACCACGTGCAGCTGTCCCCCCCAATTCACTTCCCCTTTCTCAGGAGCTTGGGGGGGTGGGGGTGGGTGGGATTCTGGCCCAGAGTAGTGCACCTGTTCCACCCAGCTCCAGAGGGCGAAGTAGGAAGGAGAAAACTCCCCGCGCTCGTCCTAAAATTCAACACCATTCCCTGGGGGCTGCAGGCTCGTAGACTGCCCCCCAAACAAACAAAAGGCTCTAAGTGAAAGGCCCCTCACATAGTAGGTGCTCAGACTAACAACGCAATAGAGTAGATCGCATGGCTCCCTTCCTTCTCGTGTATGGTAAAAACAAGCCTAAGTATTTTCAAGGCAGAAGGAGGAGGGCCCAAGGGGCTACAGGGAGTATGTCGGGTAGCCAGGCTAGGACAAATCCGGGGGTGCTGAGGAGAGCGCAGCAGCGTGGGGACAGGGACGCAAGCGTCGGCAGCCCGGGCGCCGCCTGGGCAGCGGGCACGCCGCCTGGCTCACAGTAGGTACCCATTCAAACGTGGTGAATGAATGAATGAGAGGCTCGGCGGGTGTCAGCACTGCCCCGGGAGGCTCCCGCACCGCCCTCAGGGGCAAGGTCTAAGGAGAAGTGTGGCGAGCTGGATAGTGCTCCCCAAGGCCCTGCGCCGGAACGGGCTCCCCTCCCCCCGGCCAGGGCCCCCCTCTTCCCGAGCCCGGGGAAGGGCCGGCAGCCCCCAAGCCGTGCTCAACCCAGGCCGGTCCCCGGCGCCAGGTGCGCGGTGCCCAGGACAAGGTGACCGCGGGCACGGGCCTGGCGCCCACCTTCTGAGCGGCGCGCACGTTGTCCTCTCCGAACAGGCTGCTGACGCTCTGCGAGAAGGTGTTGACCGTGCGGCGATAGCTGTTCTTCTCCGTGCCGCCACGGCCCCGCGCCCCCTGCGCGCCTGGGGCCAGCAGCCCAAGCAGCAGCAGCAGCAACAGCGGCAGAGACAGCGGCAGAAGCCCGGCCCGGGCCCGGGGCCCCGGTGAGAAGCGCGGACCCATGCCCGACCAGCGGGGTACGGAGTAGCGGTGCGGGAAGAGGGCCGCGCGCAGGGCCGCCTCGGACTCAGGCAGGGCCAGCGTTGGCGCGCTCCAGGGTCGCGCGCCGAACCTTTGCCCACGGCCGCTGCCGCCGCTGCCGCTGCCGCCGCTGCGCCACCTGCCCCGCCCCGCGCGCAAAGGCGCGACGGCCCTGCCCACGCCGAGCCACGCCCCCAGCACCAGGCCCCGCCACCAACCTGGGCAGCGAGCGCCGGGCAGGTTCCTGGTCGCTGAGTCCTCCCGGAAGCCTGCCCCGACTTGGTAGGGCTTTTCATCGTTTTTTAACGATGAATTTTTAGATAATTTTTATTTTTAACTTGACTGTGCAAAGCAACCCATGTCTGTAAAACTTGCAAGAGCCTCAGCAAGAATAGTGGCTGCAGCTGACTGGAAAACATGAAATGTGTGTGTGTGTGTGTAATGTACATATATGTATATAAAATCTTTCTGAATTTATTATAATGTACCCCAAATTGGCCATACTGGGCATCAGCTCGTTCAAGCATCTATTTCTCCTGCCCTTCCTGAAGGAACTATTTCAGAGCCGCAAAATAGGGAGGGAAAGTTCCTTTGGAAAACTCCGGCTAATACATGAATGAGTTAACTAGAAAATCATTTTGCACTCCTTAATGAAATGATGGATTCAGGCGACAATCATCAAAAAAGAGTAAAACTGGGCGGCGCCTGTGGTTCAAAGGAGTAGGGCGCCGGCCCCATATGCTGGAGATGGTGGGTTCAAACCCAGCCCCGGCAAAAAACTGAAAAAAAAAAAAAAAGACTAAAACCAAGAAGGGAAAGATTGCTGGGAAACTTGCAAACCGAGGGGAAAAGTAACGAAGACAGGGTCCCTCTAGTCGAAAGGAAGTACCAGCGCCACCTACGACGAAGTCTTCCCCAAGACGAGCTGAGCGAGAGCCTCATGGCCTCTAGAGGAAACCAACGCTTCATAGTAAATATGGGGAACAAAGAAAAAAGAAGCAGCAAAACAGCCAATACTAGAATGTAGGGCATTCTACGGGACAAAGGACTCAGTTTCATCAATAAATCGCGTAAAAGGTGAGAGGAAGAGAGGATTATTGGTTTCAAAATCATAAGAGCAATGCAAGGCTCTTGTTTGCCTTCAAAGAAAAAAATCTAACCAGACTTATTTTTTCTCTTTCTTTCTTTTTTGGAGACAAACTGGAATATAAAACACAACTTTTTCCAATTCAAAGAGTGAAAATTTGTGCCTTATTTTTGAACTTACATTTTCTGGATTCCTGGTGAGTTGTTACTGTATTTGGCCATTTTATTTACTCCACTGCTTGTGAATAGCCTGTTCATATCTTTTAAACGTTCTTTTTGTGTGTTTATTTTTTTAAGTGAACTTTTTATTGATGTATTACAGAACATACAGAAAAATACACATACAGAAAGTGTCTCTGAGCTTTCACAAACAGAACACACAAAGCAGGGGTCCTCAAACTTTTTGAACAGGGGGCCAGTTCACTGTCCCTTAGACCGTTGGAGGGCTGGACTGCAGGCCCCGGGAGGAGTTAGCTGCTAAGCAGGACAGGCAGCCCGGGGCAAAAATACCCGGAGTGCTGGATAAATGTCCTAGGCGGGCCTCATGTGGCCCCGGGACTTTAGTTTGAGGACGCCTGACACAAGGTAACCAGCACCCAGATCAAGAAATGGAGCATTGTCAGCTCTCCCAAAAGCCTCCCTGTTTCCCCTCCCATTCCCTATATCTCTTCCAAAATTTAGGATTCATTTTGTCTGTGTCTGAATTTTATGTAAATGGAATCACACAGTATGATTCTTTTGTGGTTGGCTTTTGTTCAATTTTATATTTATGAGATCCACCCATGCTGTTGGGTATATGCCTTTTTCTTGATTTATAGGATGTTCTTTACATCCTTTGGAAGTTAATCCTTTAGTCTACCATGTATGATATTTTAGAAGAAAATATAGGAAAATATACTATCACCTATTTAATATTTTTTAAATGGACATACTTTTATTTTTATATTTATTTATTTATTTTTATTATTTATTTATTTATTTATTTTGCAGCTTTTTGGCCAGGGGCCAGGCTTGAACCCACCACCTCCGGTATATGGAGGAGGTGCTGTGGCTCCTGTAGCGCCCTACTCCTTTGAGCCATAGGCACTGCCTTATATTCATTTATTTAGATAGGATCTCTCTTTGTAGGCCCAGCTGGAGAGCAGTGGAGAGATCTTAGCTCACTATAATCTCAAGCCCCATCCTTCAGTCTGGGCTTATAGGCACCACATCCAAAAGGCACACTTTTAATTTACTTAAACAAATACATTTAAGAAGAAACTTTGGATACCATCAACCTAAGCAGCAAAATCCACAAAAACACAGGTTTGATATGCCAATTATACTTTTTTTTTTTTGAGACAGAGTCTTACTCTGTTGCCCAGGCTAGAGTGCTGTGTCTACACAACTCACTGTTACCTCAAACTCCAGGGATCAAGCCATCCTCCTGCCTCAGCCTCCCCCAGTAGCTGGGACTACAGGCACCCACCACAACACCCGCCTAGTTTTAGTAGAGAAAGGATCTGACTCTTGCTTAGGCTGGTCTTGACCTCCTGAACTTAAGCGATCCACTGGCCTTTGCCTCCCAGAGTGTTACGATTACAGGTGTGAGCCACTACTCCAGGCCGCTCAATATGTTTATAAAAAATTCACTAAACTCAGGTAAGTGTGGTAGCTCATACTTGTAATCCTAGCACTCTGGGAAACCAAGGGGGGTGGATCACTCCAGCTCAATAATTTGAGATCAGGCACGGCACCTGTAGCTGGAGTGATTAGGGCACCAGCCACATATAGTGAGGCTGGCGAGTTCGAACCCAGTCCATGCCTGCTATACAAGGACAACTACAACAAAAAAATAGCCAGGCATTGTGGCAGGCACCTGTAGTCACGGCTACTTGGGAGGCTGAGGCAAGAGAATCACTTAAGCCCCTGAGTTTGAGGTTGCTGTGAGCTATGATGTGACAGCTCTCTACTGAGGGCAACATAGACTGTGTCTCAAAAAAAAAAAAAAAATTTGAGACCAGCCTGAACAAGAAGATACCCTGTCTCTACTAAAGAAAACTAGAAAAACTAGCTGGGCGTTGTGGTGGGCTCCTGTACTCCCAGCTACTTGGGAGGCTGAGCCCAAATGTTTCAGGTTGCTGTGAGCAATGATGCCACACAGTACTCTACGTAGGGCTACAGAATGAGACTGTCTCAAAAAAAAAAAAAAATCATTGAAATTAATACATAACTTTATTTTTTGTTTTTTTGTTTGTTTGTTTGTTTTTTGAGACGGAGCCTCAAGCTATCCCCCTGGGTAGAGTGCCATGGCATCACAGCTCACAGCAACCTCCAACTCCTGGGCTCAAGCGAGTCTCCTG